GAATCAAATAAGGTTTATTATGTGCAGCAGAATTCAATGTAGATAATGAAAGTCTTCGGACGTTCTAATATTTAAATAAATTCAACTTTAAAAATATAAGCGTAAATATATCATAATCACTAAAAAATTATAAGGAAACAAACCAAATCATTATCTTGAATTAAAGACAGAAAATCAACAATAAGAGGTCGTAACAACTCATCATATTCTTGACCTTGATTAATGAAGGTGAATTTGATGGCTGTAACAACAGTACCGCGAGTTTGTGCAGAATCGGATCGAAGACGTTTCTAGAAAATAAGATTATAGCTGACTTTCTAAATATATATTTAAATATATATTTAATTTAAAATACCTGTAATTCTGGTAAAAATTTGTTTGGATTTGCCAAGGTCAATTTTCCAAGGCACTCTGCCACAACACCTCGAGTTCCTTCTTCGATATTTTCACCACTCTGAAAGAGTATATTCCTGAACACGTTTAAAGCCCAATCATTCGTTATTAGCATGAAGGGCTATATTAATTATTCTCTCTGAAATTAAACAAATACAAACCAAATATCATCAGCAAAAGGTCCCAAGGCTTTGACACCATCTTCATTTGAATAGCGCGAAATAATCTATAAAAAAAGCAATTGTAATTATAAACCAAAACAACAAAAAATAATAAAATTTAATATTCCGCTCACCTCTTTAAGCGAATGCAACAATAGATATCGCTTCCGTTGATCTGAGTTGATTTCTGAAATGACAATCGGTAGATACTTGCTTACATTACCAGCACTAACATTTCCAAGTGCGAAAGCAGCTGCAGATTTGATGTCTTCAGATTGTGCTGAGAACAAAGCCAATATAATCACATGAAGGTTTGAGTGCGCACTCAAATCGCTGCATCAAAGAATTAACGACTTAATAAATTATAAATATAACATACAGTAGGCAATCAATACTAAAAAATCTTACACTTTACGTCCAATTTCACCCAAGGTCAGTAGACAGAGATATTTTATAGAGTCTGATTGGTTTTGGGTCTGTAATATAAAACTCTAATTAGGCATAAATCTTAATTTTTATAATAGACTAAACGTTAGCATATCGAGAATTTCACAAACCGCTATTTTTCTGGAGAAGTCAATTACGGTTTGATTACGGTATTTGTTTGATGCTACACATATTGTAGCAATGCATTGTGCAATCGTTGAATATGCCTATGGATCAGCAATAGAATTATTGTCAACTAAACCGGAAATAATTGTGTAGAAGCGCACAGAGAATAATCTTACCTGTTTAGAAAGTGTTAATTGATTAAGGTCCTGATTCTGATTTTGAATAGGGGACAATAACCCATTCAATAATTTATTGAAGTGGTCTTCATCTGTTTCGATTAAGGTGTGGAATAAAACAAGCAAACTGTCCAATGCAGCACCTTGAACGAGGGTTGATTGCACAAGTTGAAAAACAGATGGTAGGATATCATTGTTTACAGGATCTAGTGAGGCAGGATTAGTACGTAGAACTGAAACCACTGTGTTCAATGCTAATGGTAATAGATGAAGGTCTTGGTCGGAAATATGAGGCGTTAATTCTACAAGAACGCGGGAATAGCTCTTGGAAGTAAGATATTTTCCATATCTGCGATGTATTAAAGTTGCTGTAACGGTGAGAATAATATAAGGCATAATGCGACATAATGGAGCTCAGCCGTTTAAACGTACCTGCGCACAAATACTTCCAGGCATACTAAAGCAGCTACTTTTAGTTGACGATGGTGCTTTCTAAGAAGACTTGCAACTTCCTGAATTGCACCTATTATCGCCACTTTCACATCCTCACTCTCACAAACAGTACTATCGGCTATCATCGTGAATGTTTTGACTGTAGTCAAACGTGTCACTTCATTTCGTAAGCGCTCCAATAATATTGGCATACACATTTTAAGTTCGTCTTGCAAGTTATCTCCAGCTTGTGAAATAAGAACTCCCAAGCACATAATAGATCGTTCCTTGACTTCTTGATCTGCATCCGGAGTTGAAAGACGTGCAATAGTGACATTATAAATGTCCAGTATGAAACTTCGGAACTCAGGATTGAGCGGCTGCATGTTGTATGTTTGCGTGTTCTCCTGATATTCAATAGGACGGATGACTTTGATTAATTCAATACAAACCAAGAAGGCTTCAGATGTTATCTTATAAAAGCTATCTTGCACGGATGAAATTATTGGAGGGCATAATCGTGCAAGATATTTATGAAAAACTTGGGGAGGATGAACCTTAAACAACTGTCTAAGGAAACTTAAAGTCTCAATTTTAAGATTAGAATTTGTGCTTGTATGATGATGTGATGCATCTGACGATGTAGATAAAGAGCTTTCAATTGCAGGTATAAAAGTATTCAGATGATTATTAAGTCCCCCGTTTAATACTGTAACTAATTCTCGTAGAAGCAAAAAGCCTGTTTGTTTTGTTACAATAGATTTT